TATATATAAGTTTGCTAATTAACACGTTTCATCTTGTTTGTTGTACAAAAAACTCATTACACTGAGCGTGGCAGGCCTTTCAATCTTCTTATCTAACTCTCAGTGAGAAGTTAATACTGTAAGCATTTTTCCCAACATAACAAACTTTACAGATTTTTTTTTCTGTCTTGTGTTTATGTAATCTTCGTGACTAAACTTTATGTTCTGAACACCGATCAATAAAATGATCTCATGATCTTCATCTATTGTATCAAACAGCACGTAGCTGTCAAATGTATGTGATAGATTATCTGAACAAAATGTCTTTCTTTTATTGTCTGTGCACAGCAGAATACAAGTGTAGTGTAATGGCATGTGCGCACTGTGCATGTGGCTCCAGTTAATGTGAATGTGAGCCTCTCCCGAACATCTGTCAAAGATTAGCAGTAAAGTGAAATAGGCAGTTCCTGTTCATACGTTCCAAAATAATCTGGCAGTAATTTTCCCAGTGAAGGATGAAAAGGGGGAGGGTTTATAGGTCAGAAACACTACACAAACCCAGCTCTGTCTAGGCATGTGTCTTGTGTTTTACAAGATGCAAGTGCCAAAAGACCCGTGCTTGGACAGCTTGGAGATGATGGGTGTGGCAGAAACACGCCAGGAGAAAGATAAAGAAACTGTCACACAAAGAAATATTGCAGAAACAGCAGATGAATTCAAGGAAGACTACGTTCATTCCACCAGCGTGACCTTTATTTTTTCTACCTTGGATGTCTTTGGCTGCTATAAAAACCAACCTGCCTAGACCTGGAGTAGTAGGAATAAAAGCACTTACAGTACAAAGCAGGTACACTTTCACCTACAAACACTCTTGTTCGAAGCATGGCATCCAGCTTGCTTCAACAGAACAGACTAAAAGCCCTAAAATCAATGAAACATGAAGAATCCCTTAGGTAGAAAAAAAGGATGGTTTGTTATTCAGGTAAGCATGCTGTCATTCAAAGGCCATACACATCAGGGGGAAAGTGCTTGGAAGGCAAATCAGTGTTTGTTAATGATATGGGTCAATTGTTTTGAGGACGGCTGGACCTCTGTACTCATCTGTAGGCCTCTTCAATCACCCTTGGTAGAGGTTTTGTATTCTGGAGTGCTCTGTCCTTGCTGAGCTATTCAGATTTGCCACTTTTGCTTTGAGTAATAAAATCCCCTCTTGACGGAAATCTGTTTACACTTTGTTCTGCATGTCAAATCGCTGACATTGTAGGTGGAAGGCAAGTCATTTAACTATCAGGAGCGACGCACTGCCAGCTATTTGCTATTCTTCCCTCAGCAGCTGCATCTTTGTGCTGTACTGTACGTCCTACAGCGTGAATACAATATCTACTGGATACTGATTCCTGCATTGTGCCTTTGCTCAGTCTCTGTGTATGTGCGTGCTGAAAGTGTTGATATGTCTGCATCACATTCATCAGATAAACTGTAAATGAATTGTACCAGCCAATAAAAGTCATTTAAATGTCTGCGCTTCAACAATGTGAGATGAAGGTTGACTCGCAGTGCAAGGAGTCACGCCTAACTGACAAATGCTTTAAACACCATGCACGTTCAAGTCCCGTAAAGTAGATCTGCCAGATTCATCACATGCTCTCAAAAAACAAACACGTTCAAAGCTGAGAATGTACATGGGGGATGCTACTCGATAACGCAGAGAATAATGTGCGTCAAAAGGAGATCAAAACCAAGCCTTAATGTATGGTAACTAGACGTCAAATATCGAAATGTCTCTGGGTTTGTAGGAATGTCAGAAGTCTGTGGCTGGGTGTGTGTGGGAGTGTGTGATTCAGGCGCAAACACATCAAGATGTCACTTCATAACCTCTGGCTCAGGAGGCTCCTGTCATCTTCACATTTCAGAGATCCTCTGCCTACCCCGGCAGACATGCTAAATATAGAATGGGGACAGAATTTCTGTTTGGAGCCACTGCTCTCTTTATCTACATCTAACACTAGCAGGCGTGCACAGGCACTGCCATCTTCTCATTGTTATGCACATATGTATACAGGCATGTGGACACACAGGCATCGGCACGCGCACTGATAATAAGACCCCGCTATATTGTGCATTGTCTTATAGACTGATGATCAAACGAACATGAGACTCCACCGAGCGAGGGCGCAGAGGTTCAGATCGCATATAAAAGCTGCTCATTCTTTCCAATTACATTTCTGTCAAATGACTTACACTGTGTTATTACTTCTTGGACAGTCATTTTCAAATTCCCTCATTCAGAATCATTTAATCCTGGCACAAGGACAGATAGGCAATCCATCACCAGTCTCCTTTACCTGCTGAATCTACCACACTGTTACCCAGTTACTCTATATGACCTTGTTCTGTTTCTTACTTTGGATCGGCCGAGTCACAGAAGGGAGCCATGGAACTCTGTGGCAATTAATTGTGCTACTTATCTGTAATGTGAACAGTGGATATTACGTCTCCAACAGATATTGAATTAAGGATGTCTCAGGACTTGCGAGGCCACAGCCAAATAAAAAGGAAATGAGCCCCTATTAATGACTATTGATTCTTTTATAATAAAACAGCCACTTCCTCTCTTTACTTGGCCTCGGTGTTAATCTTGAATTAATACAGGCTCTAACTTTAGGGAAATGTCCTTCGGTGTGGCGCAGCAGAGCGGCCTAGCTTGGAAAGCTACATATCTCCCTGGTCAGGGAAAAATGCTTTTTGGCTGACTGGCAGATATTCTGTTCTCGCATGAGAGACACATGACCCAGGATGCTGTTCTGTCCTGGACATCCACCCTAATAATATCGTTTTCAGCTGCACAAATTGTTTTATATAGTCATATCTGGTGACATGACAAGGAGGGAAGGAGAAAATGCCTCACCATGGCAACAACAAGCCATTTAATACTCTAGGCACAGGCTGATGGTTATTTTAAGAAAAGTGCACCATTATAATTTTTATTAGGGAATAAATTACTGTTATAAATTCATGTGTGATGTTTTCAACTTGCTGCCTCAGCTGTGCCAGCTAAGAATTGGTTGTGTTTTTATCGTCGTCATCATCATCATCGAACTGCTGTTTAGATAATCTACATGTCTGGCTCGAATCACATCATCGTCTAATACAAGCAGGCTGATGACTGAAACCACAAACTGTGTCAGTATGCAGTGTCCACTGCCGAGTCAGCTCCTTTAGTTGAAGCGCAGCATCAGTGGCCATCATCACTGAGCACACACAGTGGATTCACTGGTCGACCACTGTAAGCCTTAATGAGTCGGCATGTATGCAGGTTTAGATAACATCACCATCCTTCCATTTTCTTTACCGCTTATCTTACTCAGGGTAACAGGGGGACTGGAGACTTTCCCAGAATGCACTGGGCAAGGGGCAGGGTACTCTCCTGAGAGGTCACTGCAATACGTAAGTAACTGAATAATAGTAGCCAGAGATAACAAACTCTTAAGGCATTTGCAAGAGTACAGCACAACCAACATCCAGCAAGCAAACAACATGAGCTGTATGTTCAAACTAATGGGATGAAAAATGAAACACAAACAACGAGGTCTTTTGATTTCTCTCCAGACTGCAACAACACGAACAGCAAGCATCACGCAGACCAGAGCACGACTTTTGGACTCAAACCAAAGCAGACGAGCTGCCAGCTCTTAGGTGCATTATCTCTCATATGGCCACTCTCAACCACTCTCACTTTAACTCACAGGTCTCCAAACTTTCTCATACCAAGCATTCCTAGCCACTGTTACTTCAGACTTTTGGGAAACGCTGCTTTATCCTCTGTTGGGGGAATTTTACTGCAGGTGATGAGACAGCAGTAAGGAGCGTGAAACCTCTTACTGGAAGTCATTTTTACACACTGTCTCACAGAGCTACACTAACTTCCAGTCAGTGGAGTCGCAGTGGAATTGAACAATCCCTCATCAAGCTTTAAACCTGGTGTGTCTGAACCTGCAGGCCCTGAACACATCACTGTGATATAGTAGTAATAAAAGCTGTAGTTTCAGCAACAGTGGTGATAACTTAAACAGACAAAGACGAGCAAAGCAAGCTTCATTTATGATAGGAAACAAGCACTTTCGATTAACCTTTTCAAGTTCTGTTTCAAACTAAAAAACAAATGATATAGCCAAACAAACTTGAACATTTTTCATTCCTAAAATCGTATTAAAGACACTTAAAATTAGGGCAAACAGCAAGAAAGAGCATATTAAAAATATCTCCCTTTGTGAGGTCTTTGTGGGTGCTGGATGTGCTTCATTTTGGATTTCATGCAAAAAAAAAAAAGCATTTTATCCATCTGCAGCAGGCCTGTTTCTGAAGAATGGGTGTCAATAGATGCACCTAAAGGGTCAATAAATGTGGATAGCAGCTTGAAAGGGAGGGATCAGGTGAACTTTTATCCCCTTTAATATTCCCCCTTGTGAGAGCTCCCCTGAGCAGAGCAGCCTAAGGTTTGGAAATGAAGGTTGACTTTGGCGTTTCCATTTTTCCCATCCGCGTAATTATAAATAGCAAAAACATATGCGCATCATAAAGTGCGAGGGTGACTTTACGCAAATAAAATAGAAAATAAATATATTCTGACATCATTGTTAATCGAGGCTGAAAATCTTTTGTCAGATGTGTTGGTGAGAAACGCGTCAAACAATAAAAATGTATTATAAAAAATGGCAAATAGAATAACGCCAGACATCAATGTCTACACCGTCAGTGGATTGTCAGACGAACCACGCTCTGTGCTTTTTAAATTAATTAATTATCTTTGAAAGGAATGGGAAGTGACTTACCCAGAAACAAAGAGCGAAATATTGCAGACATCACGGCTGGAAATCCCATATGACACGGAGCTGGAAACAATGCGCTCAGACTGCCTTCACATGCATTCGGCTGACCTAAGTGCGGGCACAACGACGCGGCACCATCAGCGAACACAGAAGCGAAATCAGAGATAAATAAATCTTCATTGAGCATATGAGTCCAAGGACATCATATGTTGCACACGCCCGACATATCTAAGCCTCCCGAGAAGAAGAAACGTGGCTCTTTCTCCTCATCGTCATTTTCATCGCAGGCTACTTGGCGTCAAATCAAAGTTCCCTGGCTGTCTGGCTCTGGCGTGGGACGTGTTGTCTCAGGGTCCCCTCTGTCTCCTCCTCAGCAGTCTCTCCTCCTTTCCTCCTCCGCTGCACAAAATGCCAGAGAGGAGGAGGAGGAAGAGGAGGAGGAGGGCGAATAGGTGGATGATGAGGGGATGCTGAAGGATGGAGACCTCTAGAGTCTGAAGTTCTCTTACACAGCCCGAGCATCCTGCAACAAACACTAAAAGGCTTTAGAGAGGAGGTGCTCCTGTTAGGTGTTGCAGGCACGAGCCAGCTGATTTCTTTGGTATGAATGGAGTTAATATTGCCTTTAATGGAGATCTTCCTATGAGCAAACAATAGTCCTATAATAAAGTACTGCATGTAGGGTTTGTAGTGAAACATGGGGGACTATTATATCTTAAATTTTGCCATATGTTTACAATATTAATACAGTGAGAGTGTTTTTAAGGTATTCTGCAATCTATCACTATCACATTGCTTTAACATATTATACATAATTTGACATGGTTTAAGAATGGGTCTAATTTTTAGGGTTGAAGTTAATCACTTCATTAACTGACAGAAAATTAACAATTTTTGTACCTGAATAATCATAAATCATCTTTTAAGCAAGACTGAAAAAAACTTACAGTCTCAAAATATAAAGATTTGCTGCTTTTCTTTGTCTTACATGATCCTAAAGTGAATATCTTTGGGTTTCAGAGTGTTGGTCGGACACAACAAGCAATTTGATGCCATCACATTGGGCTGAATAAATAATATTTTGTTATTTGACATTTAATAAATCAAACGATTAATTGATTAACCTTGAAGATATTCAGCAAGTAATCAATGAATTTATTATTTACAGATGTAGCATTTTGTTTGCTTGCTGGTAGTTCATTTCATATTTGCATCGTGATTAAAGTAGCTTTTCGACATTCTTTGTGTAGCTATCTAGCCTACTGAAACTATGAACAATTTTTGCCATAAAAAGAAAGGGATGAGTTTTATTTTACCATTGCTCCCCTACCCTTTAATAACCACAGATAACCACGTCATCAGAACCGACAACTGCTATTTATTAACAAATGTTCAGAGAAGTTGTTGCATGGTATTTTAGAGGTTACTTGGCTAACAGAAATCCTGCTTGGTGCAATACCTCCACCTGCACCTCCTGGAGAAAGGTGATTTAAGTGCCTTTGAACATAGCATGGTCATTGGTGCCAGATGGGCTGGTCTGAGTATTTCAGAAACTGCTGATCTACTGGGATTTTCACACACAACCATCTCTAGGGTTTACAGAGGATGGTCACAAAAAGAGAAAATATCCAGTGAGCAGCAGTTCTCTGGGTGAAAATGCCTTGTTGATGCCAGAGGTCAGAGGAGAATGGCCAGACTGGTTCAAGATGATAGAAAGGCAACAGTAACTCAAATAACCACTGGTTACAACCAAAGTCTGCAGAAGACCATCTCTGAACCACCAACACGTCCAACCTTGAAGCAGATGGGCTACAGCAGCAGAAGACCACACCAGGTGCCACTCCTCTCCGGTAACAACAGGAAACTGAGGCTACAGTTCACACAGGCTCACCAAAACTGGACAATAGAAGATTGGAAAAACGTTGCCTGGTCTGATGAGTCTGGATTTCTGCTGCCACATTCAGATGGTAGGGTCAGAATTTGGCGTAAAAACCATGAAAGCATGGATCCATCCTGCCTTGTATCAACGGTTCAGGCTGGTGGTGGTGGTGGTGTAATGGTGTGGGGGAGATTTTCTTGGCACACTTTGGGCCCCTTAGTACCAACTGAGCATGGTTTAAACACCACAGCCTACCTGAGTATTGTTGCTGACCGTGTCCATCCCTTTATGACCACAGTGTACCCATCTTCTGATGGCTACTTCCAGCAGGATAACGCACCATGTCACAAAGCTCAGGTCATCTCAAACTGGTTTCTTGAACATGACAATGAGTTCACTGTACTCCAATGGCCTCCACAGTCACCAGATCTCAGTCCAATAGAGCACCTTTGGGATGTGGTGGAACGGGAGATTCACATCATGGATGTGCAGCTGACAAATCCGCAGCAACTGTGTGATGTCATCATGTCAATATGAACCAAAATCTCTGAGGAATGTTTCCAGCACCTTGTTGAATCTATGCCAGGGTCTATGCAATCCATGCAAGGTGTGCCTAATTAAGTGGCTGGTGAGTGAATATATATAATTAGAATTTGGTACCACTGTCAGTTTGATTTTTGATTTCAGCTTCTTCCAGTGTGTAGTAATTGTTAGCTTGCAAAGTTATGCTTTCAAAGTAGCTTCTCAACACTACTAATGTATAGTAATAAGGATTGCAGTTATCTATTTATTGTTATATGTTAGGGATTTAGATTGTCAGGCTAACTTTGTACAATTTTACACAGAGAACAAAAAAAAACAGCATGTTTTAAATCCAACAGCATGACATATTTTCTCAGCTATTTATATTTTGCAGGCTGCGATGACGCATGTTTGTGATCAAAGGCATGTTAAACATCTGTTTTCAACCAGAAGGCATATTAGTGCTCGCTTACCATTTCTTATTTGTCCACCAGCCCCTCAATCTTAGGATTATTCTATCAATCTTTTTTAAAACTGCCACACAAGGTTTATCCCATCACCGGCTCTGGCTCTGGGTAGGATATTTCACAAGAGCAGCATGGTCTAAGTTAGGTAAGCAAACAGCAGAAAAAGGGGTGAGTGCTGCTGTCTGCTGATGGCTGAGACAAATTAATCCCCCCCTCTTGTATGTCTCAACAATCTACAGAAATAACAAAAGGATTTTCACTCGCCAGTGGCCCCTCTGCTCTCTCCAGCTCTCTCTTTCCCCCTCGAGTGGCCTGCTCTTCAGCACCAGCCTTCCTCCATTCCTTTCCGTTCCAATAACTAGATAGCTTGAAACAATGTCTCACATGCACAAGTAGACACACACACACACTTTCTGTCTCTCTGTTTTTCTCCTACTCAACACATGTACTATACAGGGAGCTGCTGATGAGACACAGAGGGTGTAACAAATACACGCATCCTAATTCCAGATGTTGCAAGAGGCAGATAAGATAAGACGCGGTGATGTTGTTGCGTTTTCAGTCTCGTGCGAGCGGGTATTTTGTTCATAATAACACTTGCCTTTTTACTTTGCTTGTGTTGCTCTGTTTACCTTTGTATTTCCAGCTGAATATAAAAGGTCACAGTCTCATTGCGACTCATCTCTGTAGAAGTCGGTATTCACAGAAGTCAGTGTAGTAAAGTACAAAAGCAAAAGAACTACTCTAAACCGCTGCAGTATCAGCTGTCAAACGATGATGGATGGCGGGCTCTAACAGACATGTTCGGCCTTACAATCACCGCACCACTCTAATCTTAGTTCAGATAACAACACCGGATTGGAAACACACCTGATAGCCAACATATATTACATCTATGTTTCAGTGTTCCCCTCAAAGCAGGCTTTTCTGCAGAAAGATCTGGACGCATGCAGCTGCACAATGCATCTCACAGCACTGAGGTTATCATGATTGCTACATAAAAGATGACCTTACTTATGTGTGTAAAGAATGACACCAGTACATAACATATGGGGCAGATCCACGGTTGATAGCAGTGATTCTGCGATAGGTTACTTGTCTTGCGAGCAGCGTATATTGTGCCATGGGAGGAAACCTGTCTACGTTTGGTGGCTTGGCCTTGGTGCATGATATAGCACCCCAATGCAGATGGCCTCACAGATGGTTGATATTTATACCACAGGGCCTTGAAAAGTCATGAGTGTGGAAACTGCTCTTTCTCCCTGATTAGTTTCACATCACCGACAACACAACAATCTCCGCGCACCCATTCCTCACTGCGCTGAAAACACACGACCAGTTGGGAAAGTTATTACAATCCATTAGGAGGAATGTATGATATTGTGTGGGCTGCCCCTTCGTGAGGTGACGACGATGCTGTGGCGGGACTCCCCCTCCTTTTTTTTTTCTTCCCTTTGAGCACATAAAAATGTAATCCTCCTAAGTGCAAGGTCCATGATTTTTTAAAAATCTTCCAGACCCAACACGGCTTCCATTTTAGCTGGGAGCACTCCTGACTTATGTACTTTAAGTGGATTTGCAATTTAAATTGGAGCAACAAGATGCTCCTCGGACCTCCTGGCAGAGATGGAGCGCCTCAGTGAGAGTGTTCCCGTCCGCCAGAACAGCTGTATCTCCCTCATCATGGCATCACAGGGACGTGTTAGTGTTTTGTGGACGCGTAGACGACACCCTGCAAACACACACATGCGAGCACGCCGGGATGCCTCGCTTTGGCCACCTCTCTATCCTGACCTCAGGGAATGAGGGAAGTGGATAGTTAAAAGGATTCTTGAGTAACAATATGGACGTGGAAGAATAGAAAAAAACTCTTTTGTTTAGGCCTCTCTATTTTTAGCAACCAGTGTGATGCTTCACCGTTAGTGTTTCACGGCTCGCAGATTCTTTATAATTTAATGAGGGAGAGGGCGGCCCTTGGAGATTTATGGCGAGCATCTCAAGGCAGCATTGGCCAGTCAGCTTATTGATCCAAATCTGATGTTTGTTTATGGGTCAGTAAAGCTCTTTCCCTGTGGTAAGATGCAACCCCACCAGAGGAACATTCAAATTGTCAGCTCCTCCTAAAGCCAATAAAATAAATTCACTCTTCAGGTCAATGTCCATTATTTTAGTCTCTCTTGAACCGTACAGCAGATCCTGACAGCCAGTAAGAGACGTGTTTAATATCAGTGCCATGTAGTGTTGAGGCTGCAGCCATGGATATAAAAAGCCTGCTGAGACTACTGTAAATGTTTTGTTTCACATGCACATACACCTTTTACACAGAGGCAGGTTTATTGATCTGCAGGATAAATTAAGTTCTCAGCTCAACAACCATGTAAGACATTTTATCTGACTGTACTTTCTATATTTACCTCTTGTAATGTTTGATATAGAAGGAGCAAAAGCCCATTTTAGATCACCTCCTGTCATCTCCTGCTCCGCATTCCTGTGAACGCAGCACTTGTCTCCTTGTACTGTAAAGCCCAGTGAGTTCAAAAGTGGATGTTTCTCCCCAATTTATTTATGAGCCTTTCACAGGGAACATGAGGCAGGGCAGGATAGAGTTTAAAAACATGTTATCATGCTCTAATTAAAGGCAGCAGCA